CTGCTTATAAAATTAATTATACCCGCTGGCTTGTTTTTTGTCATGTACCTGCATTTTGTGACTCCTTACCACATTATGACACTCCTTTGGTTTTTGGGAAAACTTTATTACAAGCTGTATTTAGATCAGTTTGCAGACAATTAATGGATAGATGTAATAATGAAAGAGATAAAATTGCACCGGAGAAAAGAGTTTTAGTTTTAACACATTTTCCCAAGTATGTTCTAAATATCTTTTTTATTTCTTATATACATAATTTGTAAATATCAAATTAAATTATCATATTTTATATTCAAGGTTTTTGTCATCGTTAGAAGTAGAAATTTATTCTGACAATTCTCCCATTTGGGATCCTGAATTTAAACAAATTCCACCTTCTCCCTTTCAAACTGCCCTGGAATCAAAAGCTCATCAAGCAAGAAAAACGGGAGAATTTGAAAAAGTTACTGTCACTCCAAATGAGAAAGACAATTTTACAACAATAAATATTAGTCCTGGAATTAAAAAAATCCAGGAGAAACGTCCTAATGCTGAGGGACGCCTTGAGGCAAAAAGGCGAAAAAATGAAGATACTTTTGAGGATCTGCCAGATGAGACCATTGCTGAAATTGTAGCATCTATTAATGACACTAATTATATGTCTGGTTCTGATGCAGTATTTCCACCGAACGTGCCACGGGACGAAACTGCTAAGATGGAAGAAAGTAAAAAGATAATAGAATTTCATGTAGTCGGAAATAGCCTGACACGGCCAGTGTCTAAACAAACTATGCTTTGGTTAATAGGGCTACAAGATGTATTCAGTCATCAATTACCAAGAACGCCCAAAGAATACATTACTCAACTTGTTTTTGATCCGTGAGTAACGAGAATTTAGTATCAATGCTAAATACTTTTACATACTTTTACGAATGTATTCAATAATATTCTTTGTCCTACAGAAAGCATAAAACGCTAGCCTTGATAAAGGACGGTCGTCCAATTGGTGGGATTTGTTTTTGTATGTTTCCAACTCAAGGATTTACAGAAATAGTATTTTGCGCTGTTACGAGCCATGAGCAAGTAAAAGGCTACGGAACGCACTTAATGAATATGTTGAAAGATTATCACATTAAGAACAACATACTGCATTTTCTTACATTCGCGGATGACTTTGCTATTGGATACTTTAAGAAACAGGGATTTAGCAAAGATATAAAACTGCCGAAGTCGGTGCATCAGGGATACATTAAATATTACGTAGGAGCGACATTAATGCATTGCGAGCTAAATCCAAAAATTGTATATACTGAATTTACGGCAGTTATCAGGAAACAGAAGGAAATAGTGAAAAAGCTGATTCACCAGAGACACCAAGAAATACAGAAAGTGCATCCCGGCTTAACATGTTTTAAGGAGGGTTTAAGGGGAATCCCCATCGAGTGTATTCCAGGAATTCATGAAACCGGATGGAAAAGTTGTGCTCAAACCAGAACGAGAGGTGTGACGAAAGGAATGCAAGGTCCAGAATCAATGGATACGAATTTAGAAGTTCCAGATTCTCTATGTAATACATTAAATGGTGTTCTGAATAGTGTGAAAAAACACAGCACAGCGTGGCCTTTTTTGAAACCTGTAGATAAAAATGATGTACCAGATTACTATGACCACATAAAATATCCTATGGGTAAGTTTAAGAAAATTGTCCATATATTTTATTGTTTAAAATCTTGTATATTGTAAATGTATTTACCTGGTCTCATTATTTGAAAGAAGCCAACCGAATACAAGAAACCCCAATGTAATGAAATATATTTATTCGTGTTATAGATCTCAAGACGATGCAAGATCGCTTGAATTCGGGATACTATGTAATAAAGAGATTATTTATAGCAGACATGTTACGGATTTTCACTAACTGTAGATTGTATAATAGTCCTGACACTGAATATTACCGTTGTGCCAATGCTTTGGAAAAATATTTTCAAACGCGTATGAAAGAAGTTGGACTCTGGGATAAGTAAAACTTTTAAGACTGTTATAATGATAATGTTGGCAATTGATACTTTCTAATTTATTCTTATTACAAAATATTATTACTTTATAAAGAAAATCCATATCTTGGAATACTGTTTTTTGTGCAGTATTTGTATATAAAGATAAAATTTAATATATATAATAATTAAAAAGAATATTAAAAATTAAATATTAGAAATAAAAAAAGATTTTATTTCCATAGTACAATATGTTCTTTGATTATTTCATTCTTTAAATATGTGATTCTTTAAAATGTGTTCATGTTTATTTCATTTATTTTACTTAATTTCTTCGAATATGTATATACATATACTCTGACGTGCATTTTGCATGTTAATTGATATGCGCGCGCGCGCGCGCGTGTGTGTGTGTGTATGTGTACATGCATCTAGCTACAAAAGATATTGCTTATCTAATCGTAATCACATATTTCATATATTGATTGCGCGAATTGTTTATATGTGGCCTTTTCACTATATTATATTTATATAGCATTATATAATACATTATTAAAATATCAAAAGTGGTTTATGCAAAAATTTCAGACTGAACTGGATACTTAATTTCACAGCCTAATTAATATCATTAGTCGAGCAGTTAATTAAGGAGTATAATACAGCAATTATATATAAAGATCGCTCTAGTGGGCGATCAGTCTATGGAACAGTGATTCTCTGTAATGCACATTGGTTTGTAAAGTATTCTTAAAGTAATAAAGCTTGTTATCTAGAAGTGATGTGAATGAGAATAACAGCAGTCAAATTTGCGTTATATGTGAATATAAAAACTGATATATATGTATATCCAATGTTATAAATTGATAGTATAAATTAATTGATTGAATAATTCTATAGCATAGTAAAAATTGATAACAAAACTATTGAAGGGCCAATATATTAAATTATATCATATTCTTCTAAAAATATGTAACATTATTTCTTAAATGTATTTCATGAAACCGCGAGCACTTCGATTATCTATTTTTAAAAAGTGCACACATTTATGGGAGACAATTTAGAACAATTAAGACTTTTTAGCCCGTTAATTTTATGAGCTTCCCTTACTTCCTTCATTTTTTATTTAATTTTGTCAATCTATGACATATATGGAGAGAACTTATTGAACGAATAATAGTTATGTTCTATGATTGAATTATAGAATCTTGTTAGCTTGATTCATTTTACTTGCTATTTAGAAATCCATCTTTAAATAGATTTTAATGATAGAAAGTATTTTATTTTTTAATAAAATTTGTTCGCTTGGAAAATTTTTGCAAATGAAATTCATTACATTCCTTACGTGTTATGTCTAAAAAGATTGCAGTTTAGTATAGATTTGCAGAGAGATCAATGCAAGAACGCAGAAAAATATATGCTCTAATTATCACGAGAACTTCACGCATTTATTGAGGATAACACTATAAACAGTAGCTGCCAGTTATAATTGGCATATATTAAGGAGCAATTATCTTTTATTTAAAATATATATATATATATTTCTTTGAAATATACATATATTTCTAAAAGTAAAAAATGAACGAAAGGAATGTTGAATTTTATTTTACATAATATGTTGTGACATATGTTGATGACAAGCCACAATTGTAATCTTCGTATGTATTCTGTTATATTATACTTCTGTTATACTATACTTCTAAGTGAAATATATCGTTAAACTTATAAATATTTTTATTCGTATCATTTATGCGCACGTTATTTTAAATGTTAAAAGCTACGTTATATAACTATGTTAAAAGCTATATATTATATTTACAAATTATATTTTCGTTATTAATACATTCACTATGTAATTTACGAATTTATAAACAAATTTTATCAAAATCAGTCTATTTGTAAATCTTTTTTTTTTAACAATAAGCGAAAATGTTTCTATATCTATTAATTATATCTATTAAAGGAAATATGATAGTATTGAGCCTATTTAAAATGTTATTCGTTTCTGGTCATCACATAAAAAGAGACAGATGTGTGCGTGGATCTGTGAGCGGAAGGAGGGGAGCTCATATAAAGCAACTCTTCTAGGAAGAAACGCAATGCTTCAGAAGCTAATGTTACGCGAGAACGTTCTACCATCTAGTCTCTCAGTTGTCCTATTTATTTATTTTGCTATAAAAACAATTCGTATCCTGTTTTGATATATTGCTGTAAAATCACTTGCTTAATATTATTTTAAAATGTGTGACGACGACGTAGCTGCGTTGGTAATTGACAATGGATCTGGAATGTGTAAAGCCGGATTTGCCGGAGATGATGCTCCTCGAGCTGTGTTTCCCTCTATTGTTGGAAGACCCCGATATCAGGTACAAAAAATATAGATGTGATCTGATAGATGTATTATATAAATCTGTATAATTAAACATATTCTAATCATGAATATTTTTAGGGAATTATGGTCGGCATGGGACAAAAGGACAGTTACGTAGGTGACGAGGCGCAGAGTAAACGGGGAGTGCTCACTGTTAAATATCCTATAGAGCACGGTGTTGTTACTAATTGGGACGACATGGAGAAGATCTGGCATCATACATTCTACAATGAATTAAGAGTCGCGCCAGAGGAGCATCCCGTTTTGTTGACGGAGGCTCCCCTAAACCCCAAGGCCAACCGCGAGAAAATGACGCAGATCATGTTTGAGACCTTCAACACTCCAGCTATGTATGTTGCCATTCAAGCTGTCCTTTCTTTATATGCGTCAGGACGTACGACTGGCATAGTGCTGGACAGCGGTGATGGAGTGTCTCATACAGTGCCGATTTACGAAGGTATATTCCTATTTATTCACTTCGATTTCCCATGATATAGTCATTAATGTCGTGCGATTTAAAGAGAATCAATATTAATTGTTGTATGATGTTTAATGTTGCAATAATTTTTTTTTCTTTTTCTTCAGGATACGCTTTACCTCATGCGATTTTACGCTTGGATCTAGCTGGCCGCGACTTAACAGATTACCTGATGAAAATTCTGACCGAAAGAGGCTACACCTTTACAACTACCGCTGAGCGTGAAATCGTGCGTGACATCAAGGAGAAGCTGTGTTACGTTGCCTTAGACTTTCATTGTGATATAGAGACTGCAAACGACCTAGAAAAGAGCTATGAATTACCGGATGGCCAGGTAATGCGTTATTTGATTCGTTTTACGAATGCAACGTTCTCATGTAATCAACGCATACGAAAATGTTTCAGTAATAACTAGATTTTTTATTAAGAAAGAAATTACGATTTCAAAAATCTAACATCTTTTGAAAAAAACCTGGAAATTTTTAATTAGGCTATTAACTTTATTATAAAGCTAATTTTAATTTACGATGACTTAAAAGTGACGTCTGAATTATAGATACAAAGAAATACAGATAGATTGTAGTATGAATGTAATGAGTACTACAATAATGGGAGTGTACGCTCATTAGCATTAATCGCGCGCATTTGCGTCGAGTGAGTGTTAACTCGTCATGGGTTGGCTAGCCACGCGGTCAGTGGACGAAGAAGTAACGGATAACGGTTTGATTCCAGGTCATAACAATCGGTAGCGAGCGTTTCCGTTGCCCGGAAGCAATGTTTCGGCCAAGTATATTGGGCATGGAATCTTGCGGCATACACGAGACGACGTATAATTCGATCATGAAGTGCGACGTCGACATCCGTAAGGATTTGTACGCTAATTTGGTGCTTTCGGGCGGCACTACCATGTATCCGGGCATCGCCGATCGGATGCAGATAGAGATAGCGAAGCTGGCGCCACCAACCATGAAGATCAAAGTAATTGCGCCGCCTGAAAGAAAATACTCTGTGTGGATCGGCGGCTCGATCCTCGCTAGTCTCAGTACGTTTCAGCAGATGTGGATTTCTAGGCAGGAATACGACGAACTAGGACCGTTTATCGTGCACAGAAAATGCTTTTGAGATGCCATCATCCAGAACGCTTTTCAACCGATCCTTAGTGGACCTTAATACGCAGGATAACTGATTTATTTATTTTTTCCTCTGAATAATTTATTTCCTAAATAATTTTCTTTTTACATATTATCTCACTCTTCACTCTTCTTGAAAAATAATTTTTATTTATCGATAATTTTCTTACTTCTTGATAAAGATATGTAGAGCATAAACTCACAGTAAGTGAAGTCTATATCTCATCATCGTCGATTCTCGTTTCATTGCATTCGCACGCGCAAGCTTTAAAGATGAATTAAAATCTAAATTAGGGAATTTGTATACATCGAACAGAGCCATTAATTCAATGTCCTTTTTTATTTCTAAAATGTACTCGATGTTATATTACATAATAGGACGTTTAAGGCGAATGTGACATTGGAGAACCTAGTTCTCCCTACGTCCTTCTTAGAAACTTTCATACAACTTTTGACACACAGTACATCTGCCGACGTAACAAAATTCTCTCTGTTGACGCATATACATTAAAAAATAATAATTTATATATTCTTTTTCTCATAAAGCATATATATTTATGTGTCGTATATATTTATAGATGTATGTACTAAGAACTTAATAATTCCACAGCTAAAAAAATTGTCATTTACAAGATATTGATAATTACATTCGTCGTATCGTAGCATCAAATGCTGTTTTGTTCATGAAATTCTAATAGTTTTCATGGACGGTTAATATATTATTTTACAGAACGGGGTGTCCCATTTAAAAGGATCCATTCAAATATCTCAGAAATACTGTGTTTTAGTTCAAGAAGAACATAAGATGGACCTTGCCTTGACAACGTCATCCAAATTAATATTATGTTCCCCTTAAAGTAAAAAAACTTTTGTCTAAAACATTTTTCAATTTCTGTGATATTTGAGGTGGATCCTTTCAAATGGGACACCCTATATATACATCTTAAAAATAAAACGTAAAAAATCTATCTCTAAGGAAAAATATATACAATTTTTATCTTTATTCATCCGAGACAAATTATTATGGATCAGACACCATATATAAAAAATTATTTGATATTCGGCAGATTGAATATGCGAAAATAATGTTGGCATCTGCTCAAATTATTATTTACGTCGATCCGTTACATTCGTAAGACTACTTTATTTTCACAAATAAAATCGAAATTATGAGAAATCATCTCCGATCAAATGTGATATACATATATATACATATACAGGTTGTTCTGTAAAGACCGGAATCAAAATATTGAGACTATAACAGGTTTTTAACTATAAGCATTTCAAGTTAGCAAATTATACCGCCTAAAATTTGCGCGTTTGAATAACGACACAAAATGCTAAAAATGAAAGCTAATTATTGCCTCTTATAAATATTTCAAATTATTAATATTTATTATATTAAAAGAAATATTTTCCCCTCGGCACTTTGATATTAGAATTTTCGTCTTAAAATGACCTTAAAAATCTCCCTTTAAGCGTTGTTCCGATTTTTACGGAATACCCTGTATATATATGTATGACAGAACTGCAAAATAATTGTCAACAAATGCATCAATATTTAAAGATACCACGAATGAAAAATTTACATACAATTTTATTTATTAAATATATAATACGCACCATGTCAGTATAGTTAAATTTAATCGAACTAAATTGTACTAAAATCGTGTTAAAGAACCTTGTGTCTCAGATCAGTAAAATTGAACTATTACTCGCGATATCAATGATTTTACAATTGTTTACGATGTCTCTTCTTCTCCGCTTATATTTCTCGGATTTTAATGTTCAGCGTTCAACATGCTTGGGAGCAAAAATAGCAGATGATATAACAATATCGATGTCGCTTATGTTGCTTTATATTAATCTTATTAGTAATCCAATAGGTGTACAGCATACAGATTGTATCAAAAGACGATCCAGTTTCTTTTAGTTACAAATTTTCTTGACGTTAATGTTTCCTTTATGAAAAGTTCATGCAAATTATTTCATTAGGCCATCAAATTTTCATGAAGGAAATGTTAATTTTGTCAAAAAATTTGTTTGAGGAAGCGCGTATTTTCTGAAACATTCTATACATTTGTACTGTCAATTTTGGAAGTTAATCAAACGCAATTCGGCGGCAATGCTTAATTTTTCAAGAATATGTACCATTATGATGTTAAGTTTTAAATTATTAAGAAATGCAGAATTTATAAAATATCAAAAGGAGCTACACAAAATTTAAAAATTCATTGTATTTTCTTCCGCTTTGTCTTACAATGTATTTTTATCAAGTGTATAGTATTAACATACATGGTAGTTAATGATTTTTTAATAATTAATAACAAAGAATGTGTTTAATTACAAAAGTAATATAAAGTACTCCATATAATTGAAGCAGTAAAAAAGTTTTGCAAATATCAATATTGTCAACTCACTGAAAATGAAACAAAAATCTAGTCTGGAGTTGAAAAATGTTCAATATGCCGGATGGATACTTCGTTATGGTATGTGATATCTATTCATAGTTATATAAATAAAATGACCAACACCGAGTACAAAATATAGAATAGATGTATCAAACAAATATTGACGACGAATTTACTTAAATAAAAAAATGTAGAAAAAATAGATAAACTATATTATATCGCATGTGTTTAAAAAGTCAATAAAAATATCTTTGGTGCCCCTGCAACGAAAAACGCTGTTTCAATTATGGCGTGAGAGGGAGCAGTAATATTTTCAAGAGTTTAAAACTGACGGTACCAATAAAATCAGTTCTGTCCAATTTTATAAAAATTTATATCTCTTAAACTTTTCTTCTACTTGTAGATTTTCTTCTACTTGTTGAACGTTTAGGACGTCGACACTTTATTCGCGTTATATTCGACCAGGGTAAAGAGAATTCACTGAAAGATAAAGATTATGTTAATAAGTACTTAATATAATACTATCTAAAATCTGTATATTTAAAAAATAGATTTTTTTTTACCATGGAGTAAAACTAGGAATAGGTGCGCCAAATGCAGTTACTGGCAAATGAAGATCTACTTGGATACTTTGAATTTGTTCTATATCAGGCCACAAGGAAGTTATGATTTCCTCCTCCATGGACGATGGACAAGGACCAGTATGATTTGTATTATAACACGTAGCTTGATGATTTTGACGTTCTTGTCGTTGCTTCAACTTTTCTATATGCCTTTGTTCCCTAATAATATAAGAAAATATGTAAGTCATATTATATTTTAAGTTTTTAAAGAGATTGTGAGCAAATTTTACAAACCTTATCCTTTGTACATCCCATCGCTTTCGCCTCCTTTCATCGTTCTCTAATTTCAAATGTCTCTTATTAAAAATTTCATCGTCCAAATTCTCGGTTCCCTCCATTGTATAACAACTTGTATATACCTTTACTCTCCAATTTGGAACTTCTAATGAATTACTTGTATCTACTGGACTAAACTGTTTCATATTTAATGTATAAGTTGGATCTCCTACAGCTGTATAATAATGTTCCTCTGTCGTGAGAAAGGATTCTTTTTTCACAAGAGATTTCGACTTCCTGTCGCTCTTTCTACTGGTTTCGTGCAATGTCTGACCCAATATCTTTTCTTGCACTCCGTCATTACTAACAGTAGATGAACAAGAGAGACCCCTTTTCTTTTTACTACCTGTAGACAAGGGTGTTGGATCAGATCGTCTCTTTTTTTTCTCTTCCCATTCAAACCTCGCCTCGTTATTAGGCTCTTGTTTGACTTCCAATTTAATTTGATTATCGTGTGGTTCTTGTTTAACAGTAGTGATACCGCCACTAGTGTTTAGACGTATCTTAAAGCTCTCGTGCAAGATGTTGCTACTGTTGGTACTCTCGCATTGAACATTTCTATGTAGTTCGCTGGTCGAAGGTACATTCACTGAATTGACACTGGTGGGCGAGCAGGCGCCTAAATGCTCAGAACCGGTAGAATTCTCGCTACATTCAGATCTCAGTTTTTGAAGGTTCACACGCCTTTCCATACGTTCCAAACGTAGCTTCAGCTGCAACAGACAAGTCAAAACATCATTTCATCATTGGCACAATACCTTAACGCGTCAATCGTTTTCGTATACAAATATTTATTTACACTTCTCGTGTGCACCCGTCTGTACATTATCTTTCTCTCCTCGCAAATCATCTTAATTTACTTGGGGATCTGGATGTCGTTACTCTCGCGACTTTGCGGCAAGGGAGGTTAATTTGATAGACTGGCGCCCTGTCATTCGTGCCGTTGACGAAACGACGAAATACGTATCGCCTACTGGACACAGCTCGAGAAACGGGATCGTTCCGCACCGACTCCACGGCGAAGATTTTACTTACTTTGTGGCATCACGCGATCGCGGTTACCCCTTCGATTCAACTGTCATTTTCAAATCGCGAAAAACACCGAGAACGTCGTCACTCCCACGGAGGAAATCTTGCTCGTCTCTCACACTCGTCCTGCACTCACATTCTCACATGCATTCTCTCTCTTTCTCCCTCTACCAATCTCGCGCGCGGTCTCAATGCGGAAGTAGCGCCACCACGTGTTGACACCGCGCAAGTTGACCTTCACGGTCAACCTGTTCCCCGCGTGGTACATTTAGGTTAGGCAGGTTGTGCAAGGCAGCGAGAGGGGAAAGGCGGGAATTGACACTCGCGGCCTGGATCGCATGTGCGCCGTGTGCGGTGCAATTGTGCGCGTACAGCGCGTTTTTACAAAATGGTGCCAAATTCGTCGCCGATCCGCAGCCGTAAGGCGTTCCGTAGCCAGAAAAAGAGCGGGATTGGCGAACCGCGAACGGGAAGACGCACGACGTACTCAGGTTAGGGTGGCGCTCGGACCTTTTTCTTATTTCTCGACAACGATCGCGAAGAGAGCCGAGAGAGCGAGCGAGCGAAAGAGGACCAACGCTCGAAGTTGCGTTGACGTCTACTCAAGATTTTCTCTCTCTGGCGTAAGATTATGAATTGTAACAAATATTAATTTCAATGCATATCTCTATTTCGGAAGCAGCTGCGAAACGTAACACTTTAAGAAAGGAGCTATTTCGCGAATCGGAGTTTCACTTTGCTCCAAATTTCACGCGATTCTCGCGAACGCGTTTTTCATCGGAAATCCTTTGGTTTCACCTCGGAATCGCTGTCTCGGCGTTTTGGAGCCTTTTTCGAGTACACATGACGCAATTGTCGCGGATGCTTACGCAAAAATTAGACGGTCGGTGAACGGGATTGGAGGACGAATTGGGATTTGAATTGAAAACTCGATCGATGACTCATCGCCACTCACTTCACCTCATTTCGCATCTTTCGCGACTTGAGATTAAAGCGATCACATTTGCGGAGATTGAAAGATTTCTCGCGACTTACGATATTTACGATAATATAAACATCGAGTGATATTATATGAGGTAGGTGCATTCAAAAAAGCATTCATTATCAATCGGTTCGATTCTGCGATCGTAAAAAGAAACTTGGGAGAATCAGGTAGATCTAAACATTTTTCTGTTTATCTAATGTCAACGTCATCACACAATTAAATTAAATTACCGAAAAGGCACAAGTTTACGTAAAAGAATCGCATACAGTAGATAGACTGTAAAGATCCATTTGAAACGTCAAATTCAAAAATGAGAAAATCCCTTTCTATACATACAGACAGAAGAATTTCCACTATCTCGATATAAATCGACAACTAGAGAGAATTCTTATTTTCTCCGACAGCTTGCGAAAGAAGAGACTTTTCGCGTACCGTCTCATTTTCCTGACGTAGCGCGGCGAGGAGTTTGTCCTTGGTGACGATCTGCTCGGACTGCTGCTGGATGAGGTCGAGGTGGAGCAACAGCAGCTCCTTGAGGTGTTTGACCTCGGTGAGATCATTGTGACGAGGCTCATTGCCGCGCAGCGGACTGACGCCGAGAGCGGTGGCCGCGGTGGCCGCGGCGGGAGGCGGGCGCGGGCCCCGCGGGATGGCGGGCAACCATTGGGCGGCAAGACA